TCTCTCTCTTGCTCTCTTTCTTCCTCTCTGTGTATATTGTCTTCTTCCCGTATCTTTCTTAGTTTTTTCCTCCTCTGTCACCTTCTGTTCCTCCTCTTCCTCCTCCTCCTCTTTCTCCTGGAGTTCATGGCAGTCCACTACATTTAAGAAGGAAAGATTGGACTTGAATGGTGCAAATGTTACTGTAGACAGGTCTTCATTACCATACCTGTATATCATGGAACTTAGTGTGCTCTTACCAATTTCCATCTGCCTGAATCTGCACCTCTGTGCCTTAGGGCTCTTGTATTGCAACTACAAAAAGTCATGTCACCTGTGCATGCTATAGGGAGAAAAATACTCAACTGAAAATACTAAAGAGTGGATTTATAAAGACTTTAGCTTCTTCACTCCTGAAGTTTGAGAATTCAAAGTTGTGTGTTTTTCATCATTTCTGATAAATTTTCCTTTAGCTTAAGCTTCAGTTGATCTCTGTGGTACTGGCTTAATAGTATACCTTTTCTGTATCACTTCCACAGTCCCTTCTGGTGTGATCTGCCCTTCCGAGTACACTATATTCATTGGTATCTTTTTCTCAGAGTATCTTCTGGGAAAAACCAAACTATGACATTTCATTACCTCTCTCAGCCTCAATTTCCTCATCTCTACAATTGGAACACTAATGCCTACTTTGAAACCTTTTTCAATACTTAATGATAATGTACATAAAAGATTTACACAATATCCGTCAAGTGATAGGCAACTGAAAACATTAGTTCTTTTCTCTCCAGAAAATTCCTAAACTAATTTTAATGTTGATGATAAGAATATATTTCTAATAATTAACTAGATCTACTTTTTTTTTCTTTTACTTTAAGTTCCTGGACACATGTGCAGAATGTGCAGGCTTGTTGAATAGGTATACATGTGCCATGATTGTTTGCTGCACCTATCAACCTGTCCTCTAGGTCTTAAACCCTACATGCATTAGGTATTTGTCCTAATGCTCTCACTCCCCTTGCCTCCGGCCCCCCCGATAGGCCCTGGTGTGTGATGTTCCCCTCCCTGTGTCCGTGTGTTCTCGTTGATCAACTCCCACTTATGAGTGAGATCATGTGGTGTTTGGTTTTCCGCTCCTGTGTTACTTTGCTGAGAATGATGGCTTCCAGCTTCTTCCATGTCTCTGCAAAGGACATGAACTCATTTTTATGGCTGCATAGGATTCTATGGTGTATATGTGCCACATTTTCTTTATCCAGTCTGTCATCGATGGGCATTTGAGTTGGTTCCAAGTCTTTGCTAATGTAAATACTGCTGCAGTAAACATATATGTGCATGTGCTTTTATAGTAGAATCATTTACATTCCTTTGAGTATGTACCCAGTAATGGGATTGCTGAGTCAAATGGTATTTCTGGTTGTAGATCCTTGTGGAATTGCCACACTGTCTTACACAGTGGTTGAACTAATTTACAATCCCACCAACAGTGTAAAAAGCGTTCCTATTTCTCCACAGCCTCGCCAGCATCTATTGTTTCCTGACTTTTTAATAATCACCATTCTGACTGGCGTGAGATGGTATCTCATTGAGGTTTTGATGTGCATTTCTCTAATGATCAATGATGATGAACTTTTTTTTTCATGTTTGTTGGCCACATAAAAATCTTCTTTTGAGAAGTGTCTGTTCATATCCTTTGCCCACTTTTTGATGGGGTTGTTTGTTTTTCTTGTAAACTTGTTTAAGTTCCTTGTAGATTCTGGATATTAGACCTTTGTCAGATGGGTAGATTGCAAAAGTTCTCTCCCATTCTGTAGGCTGTATGCTCTTTTTGATGATAGTTTCTTTTGCTGTGCAGAAGCTATTTAGTTTAATTAGATCCCATTTGTCAATTTTGGCTTTTGTTGCCATTGTTTTTGGCATTTTTGTCATGAAGTCTTTGTCCATGCCTGTGTCCTGAATGATATTGCCTAGTTTTTCTTCTAGGGTTTTTGTGATTTTGGGTTTTACATTTAAGTCTTTA